ACCAGGCTCCTGTGAGTGTGGGCTGACACTGCTGGACGATGACCACACCAAGCCCGAGAGGGGCTGGGATGCTTTCCTGATGTTTATGGTGTAGTGTTCTAGCCTCAGCATCTGCTTAGTGGCTAGAATCCATGTCCTAGTTTGCAGAGTTGAGACACTGTTGATTCTGTCAGTTTCTGCTTGTTTTCTTGAGTGTGTTTTGTGGAGGGAAGGGAGATGCAACTGCTCACACCTGGACTCTCACACACCTTTTTGATACTGGATTGTTTCTAGTGTATGTAATTGAGATCTTATTTGAAGGAAAATGTGCAGAAGGAAAACATGGACATTTTCTCAAATTCAGGCTTCTGCAAGCTAGGAAAAAAACAAAGACCATGGCCAAATTAGGAAAAGGCTGTCGCTCTATCTTCAGCCCATCCCACTCAGCCCAGGTACCACTGGTTGGCTCAAGCCCTGGAGAGATGGGCCCAGAGCCAAGAAGGGACGCTCAGTTACCCAGATACGTAAAGGCTCGATCTTCAATACAAACAGAAAGACATGTCCTGGATTAACAGGTGACAGTGTTTTAAGAGTTCAGTGCCTTTCAGTGGAACAGTCCCCATTATGGGAGTTGTTCCACCCTAAAAGGGGCCTGGGGGAGGGCACTGTGGGGCACTCACCTCACCACTGTCGTTCCCAGGGGAGACGTGGTAAACCAGGACCACCTATACCAGGCCTTGGCCAGCGGTCAGATTGCAGCTGCTGGACTAGATGTGACCACCCCAGAACCACTACCTCCAGACCACCCTCTCTTGACGCTGAAGAACTGTGGTAAGAACTGCACTCTTCAAACAAGTCATCTTCTCTCTAAGACCACAGTGTCCACAGGTGGAGATGCCAGCTGTGAACTGTCGTAAGCAGTACTAGCATAATGGGCCACACCAGGCACCATGAACATTTATGCCCTTAATGACACATACATAACACAGGAGAGGGCCTCCCATACATGCTCAATTAGATCTTGTCCCTAAGAAGTTGAATGTGGGGGTGAGTAGGTGGTTGTTTTTTTAAAGAGGGTGGGCTGACTGGGTGTCCATATGTACAGCAAATCACGCGTAAAATTGGTTACTGTGAACTGCTCTCATCAGGTTAAGTGTGAGAAATTACAAGTGTAATTACAATTCCAATTTATAACTTGTACATTATGAAGCTCTTTTATCACAGCTCCAAACCCATCCTTTTGTATTCTGCTGTGTGATGCTGGGGCTGGGCCACTGGCCCCGCTCGGCTGTCCACGTGGGGCACTGGGGGCAGACCGGAGACTGAAGGAAGCAGGAGTGCTCCTTCCTGTCGGTTGTCTGAGTCTGGTAGGGGCACCCCACCAAGGCTCCTTCACCTCGCAGTAGAAGCTCCCGCCCTCAGTGGCTGGTGAATCCAGTTTGCAGTCTTCCCAGCTCTTGCTTAACCAGCCCCAGGGGCCCCTCTGGGGACCAGCAACAGCCAGTCAGTGCCCCACCACAGAGGCCAGTGTCAGCTCCAGAGGGCCCTTCCTGCAGCTGTCTCACCCCGTAGCATTTTACCACGAGCACTTGTCCACACCACCTCGGCCCTTCGCGCCCCTCGCCGCAGGAGAGGCTTCCCTGTCGCTGCCTCGGCTACTTGAGTGCACTGGTTCTCGCTGTGCATCCCTGTGATGAGCACGGGCTGCTACTCTGCTCAGTAGGTCTTAAGGCGGGACCTGAAAATGTTCCATTTCCAGCACCTCCTCCAGGGACCACACTTTGAGAACCACTGCCTTAGTGTTTTGTTTTCTTTTGACTCTTCAGTTACCTGGTTAACAACCTTATACCTAGTTCACAATTCTGAAATGCCCTCTGGCGTGGTTTCTGTCTCCAGACTAACACTCCGAGTGCCAAGGACCCTGGGCCGTCAGGGCTGTACTGAGGCTGGAACAGAATCCGTCCTTAACTGCCTTCCCCAGTTGAACGTGCCCATTACTGCAGGCCTTGGAGATGCTGCTGTCCCCAGCCCCAGCCCAGCCTGGAAGGAAACTTGGCTGGGATGTCAGGGTTGTTGCCCACCGCTGAGAAAGCTGTCCCCACCCCCCTCCCCCCCCAAGGCCTAGTTCAGCTCAGTGTCTCCAGTGCTGCTTTCAAAAAGCAGTTCTTGGGGACAGGTGACCTCGCTTGTCCTGCAGGGGCCGGAAGGGGCCATGCTGTCCAGCGCCCACCTTGTGGTTATTTCGGCACCTCAGAAACCCCACGGCCCTGCAGCATCACCTTCAGAAGCAGAGTGGGGGTGCTCGCTCAGCTTCTGAGCCCAGTCAGCACCTAGTTTGGCCATCTTTAACTGAAGGGCTGCAACTGGGGGTCAGCTCCAAGCCTCCTCCGCCCTGACTTTCTGGGCTCTATGCCCCATCTCTCATCACACCTGTGCCTGACTTTCAATAGCCCAGAGTCCCTTTACCTTTGTTACTCTAACCCTCAGCCCGGGTAGTGCCTAGTGACCGGAGGAGAGAAGGCAAAATCAAGGACTGCTGAGGCAGGTTCCCTTCATTCTTCTCGCTGGCAAACGCAAGGCATGGGAAAGACTTGAAGGCGCTCGTCACACCGGTCTCCTATCTCCTTTTCATCTCTCCTTCGCAGTGATCCTGCCCCACATTGGCAGTGCCACCCACAGAACCCGCAACACCATGTCCTTGTTGGCAGCTAACAACTTGCTGGCCGGCCTGAGAGGGGAGCCGATGCCAAGCGAGCTCACGCTGTGACCAGACAGGAGACACGGAGGGCCGGAGGCGCACAGACGGCCGGGAGGTACGCACAGCCCTGGTGTGCCCTCGGGTGCACCCAGGCTGGATTTGGCCCCACAGGACCGGAGCCAGGGCAAGTCGTCTGATCTGTCCCAGTCCTGCAGTGGGATGACTGGTTGCGGATGGATATGCTTGCCACTTTCTGTGGTTGGAAACATCTGAGCCGAAAGTGTGCCCTTCCACTATTAAATACTACTGTGAGCCCATCTCAACCTGGAACGGGGACGTTACCAGTGTCTGCTTACCTTCTCCCAGGGCACCAAGTGACCCCCCTCTCGTTCTCGCCCTGTAGCATTTTAACTGTTAGACCCTGTGCGAACCTCCGTACCCCTCACCCTCTCTGCCCAAGTCCCTTCACCTGTCTCTCACTGAAGATGGCGCCGTCTGGGCACCTGAGTCTGATACTAGACCTGCAGACAAAGAGCACCACAGCAGAGAAGAGTTAGCAGAAGAGAGAACCTGCAAGGGCACGGGACTGAGCTATCCTTCTGTCGGAAGGAACTGGAGCTACAGGGCGTTCTTAGTTTTCAAACTCGTTTCTGCGCCTACACCCTGTTGTCTCTGTCCACCGCTCCCTCCATCCCCGTCCCTGACAGGGAGCTTTGTCTAATCACCATCTTCCTCACTCCTCCCCAGGCCAGCCTACTCTATGCCCGAGACATCAGGTTCCAGCTCTCCCTGCTAGTCAAGCCCAACTGGCAAACGGTGTTTCCAGAGCCAAGAGGCAGGTACAGCTGCAGCCAACACAAAATTAAGCCAGCCCTCTAAGAAAACGGGGTGTGCTGAGAACAAAACCCCATGTGTGCACAGGTCCAAGGCAGAAAGGGTGCAGGGAAGGCAGGGCAAGTACACCAAGGGAATGATGACAATTGTTATCAATGCCCAGTGCTGGAGTATTTCCTACACTTGGTTAAAAAGCCCCTGTCAGAGTGCAGCCTGAAGAGGCAGGAATGCTCTTTCCCTTTCGGGTTTCAATCTAATAGCCTAAGCCAAGGAGGTTAAAAAAAAAAAAAAACACATACTTACTGAGAGGCACGAATATGACAAATTTTTTTATTTCAAAATCTCAAATTTTGACCAGCATAGCACCACTGACATGGATGCCCTGGCAGAACGCCATGATCTCATCACCAGAAAGGAGTCTACATGATCACGCCAGGCTATAATTAAGGCTAACCAACCCAAACTCGGGTTCCCAGTCCCAGTTAGAATCCAGCGCAGGGTGGTTTTCCAGTGAACCGAGGCATCCGGTTTTAAGTGCTACGGCGTGTGCCAGGACCGTGGCCTGCAAGCTTGCTTCTCACACGTAGAAACTAATTGACCAAGAGGTAGATGAGAGAGTCCAGGTGCCGCCTAGCAGTGGAGGCAGGGCTCCAGCGGCTCTATGAGAAAGACCCCCAAAGCATAGTCCATTGCAGCGGAGGGGAAGGGCAGGCTCTGGCACCTCCTCATTGGGACGAAGGGAAGGAGGGCCGCCCGCTGCTGACGTCATGAGCTCCCCCCTGCCCGGGGCCCAGGCAGGACCTCTCCTGTCCTCCATGTTGACCGAGTGTCTCCCACCTTGCAGAACCCTGGTCCCCCCAGTTTGACATGTGGCCTCCTCGCAGCGTCAGAACATGACTGCAAATTAGCCACACACAGAAGCGAGTCTCACATGCGAGCCCGTGTCCCCCGGGGGCCTTCTGCCTGTGCGTGCTTGAAAGGAGGAGAATCCCAGAGGCTTCGCTTCTGGTCTCCTCCTTGGGGGTCAGTTCTTAGGGATGCGAGCCCCACTTTGAGCACTATGGGTTTATCCAGACACACTAGAATGGAGGAGGAACACAGTTTTGTTGTAGGCTACACATACATACATAGCTTTCTAAACACAAGAACTGAAGCATTTCTCTAAATTACGCAAAATGGCCTGGTGTCTCTAAAAAGGCCGTGTAAAGAAAATGAGCTCACGTTTTCGCGTGAGTCCAACTATGACGTCATGAGTTCTACTGAGATGCAATAACCTGCACCATGCCCCTGGAAGCACAGTCACAGGGCGGGAGGATGTGGCTGGAGAGGACCTGGGCAATGACCCAATGTCACCTCCAACAGTCCTGGGTGCTACTTGGTGGCTTCTATGCTACTGGTGGCTAACCCCCGTACAGAGTCTGGGCAGCACGGATTCGTGACCATGGCTACGTTTAGATTTCGGATAATTTTAAACATTCAGTATTGGATTAGGGATGCAACAGCTATGAAATTTTAGGGTCAGTACTTTTAAATCACAGCATATGTCAGTAATGAAACCCAGGGTACAAGGGAGCTGGCCTCATTTTTTGGTTAGTTTATAAAGTAAGCGTGGTCTGGGAAAAACGCCCTAGAGGGCAGGGAGCGGGAAGAGAAGCAGCAGAGAACAGGCTGGTCCTTGGCGGCATGTGTCAGAATGGACTCTGGCCAGAGTAAAGGGTAAGTGTGCCATAAAAGAGCCCACAAAACATGACCCACGTCATCAGAACAAAGACGAACACTAGCTCTTTGCTGGTTTCCAAATGTGGAATTTAACATCTGTAATACAAGCTGGTTAAAATCCTGCTACAACAGCACACACAGAAACAATACCTTACTTCTCCTACTAGTACATACTCCATTTACAACTCTGCTTTTAAAACCAGGAAAATTACTAAAACTATCCAACAGTGATGTGTTCAAAAGTATATACACCTTATAGTCAGAGAATGTCGCTCTGGAGAGCAGAGTCAGCACCACGGAAGTGCAGTGTCTGTGACTGCAAATCAGACAGAAATTAAAAAAATACAGTACTTGGAGGCCCAGACAAGCTCGTGATACACCTTAGAGCATCTGTGACCAAGAGCCATGTGTACACAGACGCGCAGTTAGCACGGGTGGCACACCGTGCGTCTGCCATCACCGTACAGGTGTATGACGTCCCTGTCAGAGGGCATTAAAACCACTGCTGCCGAGCTGACTGAATCACAGCGACCCTCAGGACGGAGCAGAGTTGCTTCGCAGGCTTCCGAAGCTGTAACGTTTACGGAAGCAGACTGCCACGTCTTCCTTCTGTATCAGAGGGTACGGGAAATTTAATAAAATGCTTCAGAGTTCTACAAAAATTGCTAAAAAAAATTTTTTGCACTTTGATTTTAATTTTTAAATGTGCCACTTTTAACAACATCAATTACAGACTATTTTACGACTGCATTACTCAACCCAGGGAAGAGCTTGGTTTCAGGGACGCAGCCCTCCACCACGTCTGGACTTCACTCGGAAACCCAATAATAGCACAAGCGCTACCTTTATCAGTCCCCGCTGATCAGACGTCGCAACCTGCAGGAGCCGCCGCGCCCGAAGCTCAAACCCTACGGCGTCACCAGCTGCCCGTGGAGCGTGTCGTGTCAGCTCTGCGCCGGCGTCGGCACTGCCTCGGGACGGGTTAGAGCAGAGCGCTGGGGAGACTGCTGTTCTGCCAGCGCAGGCAGGTGGTCTTGGAATGTTTATAGAGGTGGCTGGACTGGCTGAACCGCTTGCCACACTTTAAGCAGGCGTAGGGTTTCTCCCCTGTGTGCACACGGATGTGCTTCTTGCAGTCTGTCAAGGTCAGAAACGTCTTGCAGCAGATTTTGCAGGCATATTTGCGAGCGCCCTCTACAACCAAGACGTTGTGCTCGGATAAGGCCTTCTTGCACTTTGACAGGACGTCAGCAGAGGCCCTGGTCAACTGTGGCGGGCCAGGCTGGGAAGGATGGCTGTTGTCAAATGAGGACGTGGGCCCACTCATCATTAGCTGGGAACTGGCAGAGTTTTCAGGGAGCTGGGAGCTCCTGACAGAGGTGACCACTGGCATTTTGGGAGCAATACGGCGGTAATATGGAAAGTTGCTGGCTCCTCCTCTTGGAGAGCCCATCATCACCCTGGAGAAGGAAGAGTGGAGGCCCAAACCAGACCTGGAAAAATCCATCCCAAACTGGTCTCCTCCTTGGTAGCCTGAAGTCTGCACACAGGGCAGGCCCATCACTTCCTGCATAGGCCTAACAAAATGGGAGTCTGTGGGCTCACTGAATGGGTTCTCCACATGAGTGCCAGGGGCCGAGGAAGGCCCGCCTGCAGGCCCAGCCTCCGGACTCAACAAGTAAGAGGCCTCCCCCTCCAGCCTGCAGTCACTGGTGGTATTTGGGATGTTATCATCGTTGCTCTGGTTGGTGCTAAAGTTACCTCCTCTGCTCTTGTTAAGGAAGTTGGAAATGCTGAAAGTGGACTTGTGTTCCAGGTTATTTGTGACTTCCAGTATGTGGATGTCACCCACCCTGTCAGTGCTAGACTGGGGATCTGAAAAACTCCGATCACTGCTCTCGGGGCTCAGGTCTATCTTCTCAGCACTAACCACAACGCCTTCTACTTCCACTGACTCGCTGCCTTCTGCCTGGGAGGTCACATCACTCACTTCATCCTGAGGCTCGGGAGAGCTCAGGGGCTCCGACTTCACCACCACCCGCATGTGCTCCTCCCCAAGGCCAACCTCTGGGTTCTCACACTGGAAACCACTTTTCTCAGCTGCAGCTTCCTGCTCAAAACTCGTCTCAACCTGCGTTGCACGAGAGGCCATGGACAGTGGTGCCATGTTGCCGGTACTGTTGTCAGACTGGCTGGGCACCTGGGCATCTTCCTGAGCCCCAAAAGACTGCTCGAACATCATGGTCGTGTCCTCCTGGCTGTCGGTCATGCCATCGGCCTTGGCGTTCTCCACGATTTTCAGAGAATCTGGTGAAAAGAACTCCTCCCGAGGATGCACCCCTGACGGTCCATTCTCTGGGGCAGTGTCTGAAATGGCAGCCTCATCCAGGGGGGGCCGGAGGCGCTGTCTGGCTCGCTCCTCTGCGGACTGCTTCCGCTTATGAAGCCGTCTCATGGGGAAGGGCGTCCGCTGGTCCAGGCTGCTGCGCATTGCCGAGCTCATCGGCGCCGGCTGCTCCTCGCCGTTCTGGCTCGAGCTGAGGGCGGAGCTCACCACGCTCAGGCCGAGCTGCTGTAACATGAAGGAGCGGTGCAGGCGGGCACTCTGCTCCTGCACGCGCTCGCTCGGGGGGGACATGGGCAGCGTCCTGGTCGTCAGGTAATGTTTACATGCCTTAACGACAGAGTTCAGATGCAGGTGAGAGGCTGCCAGTAAGACGTCCATGACGTTGCTCTCCCCCAGCATGAGGGTGGAGGTGTACATCATGTCCATCAGGGCGGCAAAGGCCTCCGCCGTCACCACCTCGCTGTCCAGCTGGATCATGTTCATGGTCTGCTCCCCCTCCGCCACTGAGAACAGGGCTCGGAAATGCGTGCTGCATGCTGCCAGCACGGAGCGGTGGGCCTTAAAGTGTCTGTTCCCCACTACAATGACACAGTCACAGAGCTGGCCGTGGAGCCTCTGGTAGTTCAACTGCTGGAAGACTTGTTCAAAGTGTCCGGGAAAATCCATGATCCTATGGGAAAAACAACAACAAACAGTGTTAAGACTCAGAAGTGCTTACGTCAGTAGCAGAACACAAGGGGTACAAGGGCTTGCTTGCCCTTTGAAAGCTTGTGCTATTTCTGATGATGGGCACAGAGGCTAAGAACCCATCCGATAAGGAGTGCATGGTGATCCAGCTACCAACCCAGGAAGGCTGCACATGTGGGATCAGCTGCTGTTTGCAGGCTCCCTCTTACCACGCGGGACCTAGCTTGGAAAAGGCCGTCCACCCTACAGAGGTCTGTTAGGGCTCCGCGTTCCTGAGGGCAACAAATAAGCGCCAAGATATTAAAAACAATATTCTAGCAACCTTAAATTAATGAAAAGGCCAGATCAGTATTTAATTGGGGAGATTTCCAGTTACAGAGAGTAGATGTACACATGCATTAAACAGACAGTAGAGCTGTCTGTTTAAAAAACAGAGGAATCATCAGTAGCTGGAAAATATGTCCTTGGTGACAGAAATAATGCCAGAGATTACATGATAGAATTTTGCAAGACCAATGACTTATTCATCACAAATACCTTTTTTATACAACACAAGCAGAGGCCAGACACATGGACCCTGCCAGATGGAATACACAGGAATCAGATCAACTACATCTGTAGAAAGAGGTGTTCGAGAAGTTCAGTATCTTCAGCCAATACAAGGTCAGGACCTGACTGAAACAGACCATCAATTCCACATATTCAAGTTCAAGTTGAAACTGAAGACAATTAAAACAAGTCCACAAAAACCAAACAATGACCTTGATTATATCCCACCCAAATTCAGAGACCATCTGAAGAATGACACAATGAACACCAATGATCAGAAACTAGAAGAATCTGCAATGACATCAAGAGCATCATACAAGAAAGCAAAAGGTCACTAAAAGGACAGAAAAGAAAAAACCAAAATGGATGTCAGAACAGACTCTGAAATTTGCTCTTGAATGGAGAGTAGCTAAAGCAAATTGAAAAATGAAGATAAAAGAGCTGCATAGATGCTGGGTGAAATAAGTCACTCACAAAAGGACAAATACTGTATTAGTCCGCTATTCTAAAAGTCAAGGAAAGGTTTATCTATGGAAGGAAATTTTCTTTGTTGGTTACCAGGGGTGGGAGGGGAGGGGAAGGAACACTGTTAGATAGATAGATATAAGTACTGATTTGGGTGAAGAGAAGGGCAATGTACCAAATGTGAGTGATTAATATGGTGGCACTGAGGAAGAGAAAGACATAGAGAGGTACGTGGGAAGTACAGACAACAAAGATGAACCCTTATGCACAAACAGTACTGCGTTGTCAGTGAAGGCAAACATGGGTATACGGGTGGACAGGCTGAACTATTAGGTATGTCTGAAGTGGGGATTGTATCCAAGAACATGTATAGAGTTGATACACAATGGTCCTATAAGTTTATGTGAATTATCTGAATTCCCAGGTATATAGTGGAGCTGACAAGCGGCAAGGCTGTAGTCACTGCTTAGTCACAGCCAGCTACCCAGAGGGAGCGAGTAGTGGAACCTGTGGGCTCAAGACCATAATCGCAGGAGACATCAAGCTCAATTGGCGTAACATACTATACAACACTGTTCCACCTCCTATTTTGGTGAGTAGCGACTGGGATCTTGAAAGCTAGCAAGCTGCCATCTAGATGCAACAATGGGTCTCTCCTCATCCAGAGCAAAAAATAATGAAGAAAACCAAAAATTCATGGAAACAATTAGTCCTAGCGACTGGTACACCATCCAATCTGCAGCCTATATGACTATGAGACCAGAAGAACTAGACAGTGCCCAGCTACCAATGTCATCCACTTGGAAGGGGATCTATGTAGGACATCCTTGGTAGAGAGGG